AGCACTGGAAATTGGAATTAAGCCACTTAACCCCCAAAACATGAGCTGTAATTAAATTAGCTATATATTTTTTTAATACAAGCAAGACTCAAATGCTGAAAAATACAAAACACGATGAAAGAAATTTTAGAAGACCTAACCCACTGAAGGTGTGCTCGTGGGTCAGGTGTCAGGTGTCCCTAACCTGGCGTATGGGCCGATGCCATCTCATTCAACATCCCAGCAGGTTTTGTTTTAATCAGCAAGCCGATGCTAAAATTTATGGGGCGACGCAAAGAAACTTAACCGAAGAAATGTAGGCAGAAGGCGAAGTTGGAGGACTCACACTGATTTCAAGAGTCCCCCTGAGGGCGGGAGTGGAATGGTGGCTGGGGGGGGGGGAGCCAGTGGGGTGGAACGGGGCCCAGAGGCGGAGCCACGGTGCATGCCACCGATTTCCCACAAAGCTGCAGGACGGCTCATTTCAGTGGACAGAGGATGCTCTTTCCAGCAAGCGGAACCACAGCGGCTGGACATCCATTTGCCCATGAGACGAACGTCACTCCATGCCCCACACCTTATTCAGAAACTAACTCAAGGAGCCTCTTCTTGCCCTACTGTGAATCCCGCAGCCGCAAAACTTCTAGAAGCCCCTTCTGGCCTGTTGGGCGATGGTTCTTTGAGAAGTCACGAAACCCAGAAGAAAAATGGTATATGGAGTTTCGTCATGTTGACTGCTTTTTGCGTATCACCGTTGACATGACAACACAAGCCACAGACTGGAGAAAAATATCGTAAAACTCCTAATAAAAGCCTTTTATCCCACGCACATAAAGAACTCCCAAAATCCAACATGGAAGGACGCAACACCATTAAAACTAACGGGCAAAAGGTTTGCACAGACCCTTTACCAAAAAGGCGTGCACACAGCAAAGGAGCCCTGAGAAGGTGTGAGACAGGGAGGCGGGGGTCGCCGGGGCCGCGAGCTGCCGCAGGGGGCAGCAGCTCGCTTCCGTACGACGGCCGACGTTTTAGATCGCTCAGTCCCGAGCACTGGCAGAGGAAGCAGAGCAGCCCAGACTCTCGCCCCTCGCGGTGCCAGGCGCCCTGGAAACGTGTGGCCGTTTCCCGCGCAACTGAGCCTATACTTACCGTGCATCCCGGCAACCCTGCTGGACGTTCCCCGGGAGAAGTGACCAAAGCTACATGTGCACATTTACGGCGGCTTTGTTCACGATCGCCGGAAACCGGACGGAACCCAGACGTTTCACCCGGTGGAGAAACAGTGCTGGGACAAATACCGGTCCCCTGAGAAAAGTCGCCCCGATAAACCGATATACACACGACACGAGGAGTCAGGTGCGGCTCGCTCAGCAAGGGAAGCCAGACACGCAGGAAGTGGGTGGGGCCGGGCCTGGGGCCGGGGGAGGCCGACCGCACGGGGGCACGGGGCAGGGCCAGGTCCGTTCCCCACCAGGCGGTGGGCTTGTGACCAAGCCCCCGAGAGGGGGAGCGTCCTGGAGGGGGACCCCACCTCCGTCAACCTGATGCTTCGCAGGAACCGTGGTCACGGGGCAAAGGTGGCCGTGTCTGGGCCTCCGTGCACGCAGGACACCCTCCCCTCCCCTCCCCTCCCCTCCCCTCAGAGCTTCTCCTGTCAGGGCCACAGGGCGTGTGCACAGAGCCGGCCGGCCAGGTCAGGAGCGGCCGTCACTAGCGCACCTGCCTCTGGCATCCGCCACCTCTCTCCACCAGAGTGACATCCTCGTTTGTGGCGGGGGGAGGGGGGAGGGGTGGCTTCTCACACAACAGGAAAAGTCACAGCGAGTGTCGAGGTGAAAACAGGCCCAGGGGCACTCGGTTGTGTTGTCAGAACAGGCCTCGTTTCTGGGTGGAAACGGAGCTCGGGGTCTGAGCACTTGGTGCGGAGTTAACGAGCCTTCCCCAAGGCCCGTCTCTCCTTTTGCCTTTGGGGGACCCTCTGACCCTCACCCTTGGTTGCCCCGGGACGGGCCGGGCCCGAGGCCCCAGCCCCCGCATCTCCGGGAGGCTGAAGGGCGGGAATGGGTGCTGGGACCGAGGGGTCACGGCCGCAGTCACACAGCAGTGCCCCGCACCCGCCCGCACATGTGGTCCCCCGTCCTGCTGGCTCGTCCTGGTGGCTCTGGGCAGACCGTCCCCAGGTGGATGCCAGCGGCGTTCGCAGAGCCGTGTGCGGCCCAGCTCTGACCGTCTCCTTGGATGAGCACACCGGGGGGGGGGGGGGGAGGGGCACCTCCATCGACGGGCCTGCCAGGGGCCCCGCACGTCCATGCGCCTTCCTTCCTGTCCTTGCAGCCGCCATCTTGTGTCCTTTGGAGCCCCAGGTCCGTCCCTGGGCCTGGTCCCTGCCTGCGCAAGGGGGCACCTGGGCCCTGGGGCACGTGCGTCCAGGAACCCAGTGCCCGTCCCGCCCTCCTGCTCGGAGCGCCTCTCCCTCTTCCTGTGATGTGTTCCCACGGAAACCGGATTCCATCAAAGGGCGATATCCTCGCCCCGCCCACGCTTTCAGTGTTTTTGTGCTTGGCGTTACTGACCACTTGCCGTGTCTTTTGGAACAAGCTCTGGGTTGTCACAAAGTGAGACCAACTGTTACCAACCCGTGATCTGCCCCGTCTACCCCCAGGGTTATTTCCAAACCACTAAACAAACGTTCTGTGGAGGCGGCTGACACCATTTCTCCTTGTCGCCTCCACGTGTGGATGTCTGTTGTGGCTGTTGCTGTCTTGTTCGGTGTGGGGTTGTGATTCTGCAGAGAAGGAGCAGGGCAAGGAAACAGCTCGCAGCAGGGACCCGCGGGCTCCAGCAGTGAGGCCGGGGAGGGTGGGTGGGTGTTTCTGTTTTGTAATCAGAACACGGAGCATCCAGCATGGACACGTGAAATGTGCCGTGGTCTGGGCTCCTGTCCGTGCTGGCGCCTACGAACGCGCCTGTGGCCACCGTCCCTGCTCCCCGCCCCGTGCTTTCCCCAGCAGAGAAAACGATCTTTACATCCGACCGTGGGCTGTCTGGTACCGTGTGGTGTTACCGCGCTGACCACGGGCAGCGTAAGGTAGGCCCGGCTTCTCGGCTCAGCCGAGACCAGGTAGGGTTTTCTCTTGTGTGATTAAGCTCTTCTGTATTTTGGCACTCGACGATTCTAGGTGTTCAAGCAGGGACCCAGGCCCAATCCAGTTTACTTGATGACACGAGAGGATTAAGGAAATCCACGTTTCTTAAAAAGCCAACTTAAATCCCGGCTTCCTCTTGGCGGGGGGCGGGCCTCTTGCGGACGCTAGTTTTACACAACCGTCCGTGCACAGGCACACGAGTGCGCACACACGGGCCACGAAGCAGGAAGGACCCCTGCCCAAGGAACAGAGAACAGGGCGGTTTGTGGGGCACGCACGTATTTCGGGGGAACTGAGCTCAGTCTCTGACACCGTGGCTCGGTGGGGAGGGTACAGGGTTCTTGGGAGCTGTTTGAAGCTGACCGGGTCCACAGTCCGGCCGTTTCCTGATGCCTCACCTTGTGCTCAGTCAGCTCAGGCCGCACAGCCGCCCCCCCCCCCCACACCGGGGCCCCTCTGTTGCTGTCATAAGCCCCTTTCTGGTCAAGTGCGACACCCCAGTTCTCTGGCACAAGAGGAGGGATAAAGGCAGAAGTCCCTGGGCACGGCCCACCTTTTTCTGATTTTGCCTTTTCAGTGTGTGCGGCGTCGGCCTCCGGCCCCCGGCCCCCTCGGCTCAGGCCGAATCCCGCCAGCTCCTTGTCCCTGAAGCTCCTTGCCTGCTTTGGCAGAGGCTGCCCCGCTGCCCCATGTCAGGGGCTCCTAGGAGCAGGATGGCACATGGCCTCAGGGGTTGAGGCGTCCCCTGAGTGTGTGCCACTCCCTGCCCTCCCCAGGGGGCCCTCTCATCCTCTAGACCCAGCGGCCTGCGGAGCGGGCAGCTCCCCCTCAGGGGGGAGGCCAGGCACTCCTGTCTGCCACCCTCTTGTGCCAGCCAGCTGGACTGGGGCGCCCTGGCCAGGCTGCAGAACCCAGTTTCCTCGTTCGGGAACAGGGTCCTTTCTTTCTGGTCATGACCTCGGACACACTGCAGGTTTGGGTCCAGAGCCACAGTAAAGTGAGTCCACGCACGTTTTGGTTCCCCAGAGCGCGTAAGTCACTGCCCTACGCTGCAGTCCGCCGGGCGTGCGAGAGCACCGTGTCTGAGGAAACTGCGTAGAGACCTGAATTCAAAAATACTTCAGGGATGCCCGAGTGGCTCAGTGAACTCAGTTTACGGCTCAGGTCATGACCTCGCGGTTCGCGAGTTCAAGCCCCGCGTCAGGCTTTGTACTGACGGCTCAGAGCCTCACTGGGATTCTCTCTCTTCCTCTCTCTCTGCCCCTTCCCTACTCACATGCACGCTCGCTCGCTCTCTCGCGCTCTCTCTCTCTCTCTCTCTCTCTCTCTGTCTCTTTCTCTCAAAAATAAATAAAAACGAGCGCCTGGGTGGCTCAGTTGAACATCTGACTTCGGTTCAGGTCATGATCTCACAATTGGTGAGCTCGAGCCCCATATCAGGCTCTGTGCTGACAGCTCACAGCCCACTTCTGATCCTCTGTCTCCCTCTGTCTGCCCCTCCCCTGCTCATGTGCGTCCGCATGCTCTCAAAAATAAAAATACATTAAAAATAATGCTAATAAATAAACAGATAAAAACATTTAAGACAATACCTCACTACTAAAACATGCTGACCGTCACCCGGGCCGTCAGAGGCGTCAGCACCAACCACAGATCACCGTAACAAACGTACCAGTGATGAAAAGCGTGAGGTACCGTGAAAGTCGCCGAGATGTGCCGAGACCCGGGAGGTGAGCAGAGGCAGCTGGGAAGGCGTGCTGGCCGCGGGGTGGCCGCGAACCTCCCGTCTGTGAGCCGCGCGGGGTCCGTGAGGCGCAAACAGGATGCCTGTGACTTACTCGCGAACCTCACTTGGTGTTATTATCGTTCAAGATCCCGGAGGAACACGACCTGGAGAGTCAGATCCGCAAGGAGCGCGAGTGGCGATTTCTCCGCAACACCCACGTCAGGCAGCAGGCGCGGCAGCTCATCCAGAAGGGTAAGCCGCCCGCCTCCCGAGGGGGGCGCCTCCGAGGGCCCGTGGCGGGGCTGGCGGGGTGCAGGCCCTCCTCCAGGCTGGCCCCCAGGAGCCCCCAGAGCGCTCGGCCACTCTCTCCCAAGAGAAGCCCCCGCTGGCCTCTCGCACGAGCAAGCCTGTGCGCCCTGCCACTCCCAGGGCGGAAGGAGCCCCGAGCTCTGTCTGGGGCACAGGCCACACGCAAGGCGCTGCTTGTGCCCAGCTGGCCCCTCCTGTCCCGGAATAATCCCACTGTCAACCGGCGCTGTATCTGAGTCCCACTTTACCAACCCTTTTACCAGACTTGCCGAGAGAGGCCCCGTTTGCGGGCCCCCAGCCTCACCGGTGCTAGATGGGCAGCCTCCCTCCCCTCCCCCACCCCCACCCCCTCCCTCCCGCTCTCCCAGCCCCGCGGCTTTGGGGGCACAGAGAGGTGGGGTGCACCTCCATCTTCTACTGTGAAGCCAGCGTGGCCCCAGTCACTGGGCTGGCCGGGCCGACCAGCTGCCCAGGCTCCGCACAGAGTGGGACGTCGCGGGCTGTCAGCCCTTCTGTTGACGGACTGATCCCGCCTTGCCTTTCCGTCCTGTAAAATGGTGGCAGTTGCCAAGGGTCGCTCTTTAGAGCCGGGGGTGGGGCCCACGAGACAGGCTGTCCCCGCAGACACGCGTGTCCCTGAGCACACGCGGCCGCTCCAGAAGCCACTGTGGCGTGCAGCCACCTCTGTGTGCAGCGTTCTCCGTAAAATTCCTTGGGGCCGTAGTCGCCTCGTAAGGCTGCCTCCGTGAGGGGCTGGCGGCGGCTGGATGTAAAGCAGCCTAGTGTTCAGGCCTCGGCGTCTGCTGGCCCGGCAGTCACCGCTCGGACGTGTGCAGCCAGGCCGGCCCACGCCCCACGGCTTTCTTCCCGAGGACAGAACAGCCACCAGCACGTCGGCGCTCTGGGAATTACAGCATCAGAGGCTGTTTTCTCGAAGGTCTGCGGTCCTGCAGGGGCCCCGTTCTACAGGACAGTGGACTCCCTGGACCCCGCGTCTGCCTCCCGCAGTTAGGCATCGGAAGGCAGACTGGCCTCGATGGGGAAGTCACACACAGGGCCAGGGGCTCTGGAGAAAGAGCCGGGCTTTCCTGACGAACACAAAAGACTGTCTTTGTAACCCGGGTCGGGTTCTCCCGGTCTTTGTGGGAAGAGGAGACCTCCTTGTTAGACACAGCTGAGGGGGGCTCCTGGACGCAGTCGCCGGGCACGTCAGCCCCTGAGAGGTCCGTGCGGTGGACCTGGCCACCGGAGACAGGGACACGGGCGACCCCACTCACGTGCCCGCACAGAGGCTGCCGCCAGTGGAAAGTGCCCCTTCTGAGAGGCGGCTGTGCCCCCCTGAGAGAGGGGGTGCCTGCAGCTTAATGAGGTGGTTCCCCCGACGCCTGTGCCCGGCCTCCCCCAGTGACCTCGGCCGGCAGGACCAGTGTCGTCACAAACGCACAATGCACCCTGACCCGGGAGTCGGTGTTCCCGGTGTCTCCCGGCCACCCGCGGTCGGGGCCCCTGCGGGTAACACTGCTGCCACAGACAGAGCCCCTGGGACCTTCTGGCCTGTGTCCCTTCGCCCCGTCCTTGTCACCGGCTGCTTTTCCGTGTTTGCCGCTATCACGGGGGGGGCGGGGGGAGAGACGGGGGGCAGGGTGAAGCCAGCACTAATGGCCCCCCCGGGTTCCCCAGGGGCCAGGCCGGTGCCCGACGACGCTGCAGGGACCCCACGTCCCTGGCTGCGCTGAGTTGGCCTCGTATTAGTCACCAAAATCCCACCTAAACCTGTCTTGACCTCTTGTCCTTTTAGCCTCTTTTTACTGTTTTCCCGAGACTCCTTCAAAGCCCCTTCCTGACGGCTTCTTTCCTGGTTCTGGTTTTGGGGGCCCGGTGCAGACATCCTTGTTCACCTCCCTGTCGTCTGTGGTGATCTGTCCCTCAACCGGGTAGTTCCGTAGGGACCACCCCCCTGAGAGGCCACCAAGACCGTGGCCCGTGTGCCCGATGCTTCGACCTGGAACTGAGTTACAAACGGTGGCCTTCCTGCTTTCTTCGAAAACCACCAACTTGCACATCTCTGAGCACGGCGTCGTTGCACGCACGAACTGACGAGCACCGACTGCAAACTCGTGCTGGGGGGACCCTGCGGTCAGGGAGCCAGGCCCTCGTCCGACCCCTGCTTGCCCTGTGTGTCCCTTGTGCCTCCCCAGGTCCCCAGACAGGAGGCGCCACGACCCCCGGGTTCTGCACGTCGAGGCCCATCGCTGTGTGTCTCTTTGGGCAGGTATCGCAAGACTGGACGACCAGATATTCCTGAACAGGAACCCCGGTGTCCCCTCCGTGGTCAAGTTCCACCCCTTCACGCCGTGTGTGGCCGTGGCTGATAAAGACAGCATCTGGTACGCAGGGCACAGGCGGTCGTGTGTCTCAGCCGGTAACGGCCAGCCCCCCGGTGACGGTGCCGTGTTCCCGGCGCGGGAGCCGCGAGCCCTCTGGGGTGCTGCGGGCGGCGGGGCTCGAGAACACGGGGGGAGAGAGAGGTGCGCGGGCTGGCGGGAGCCTCTCGTGCCGGCACCAGAGCACACGTGGGCTCCTCAGAGCCACAGTGTGACGGGGACGCACAAGGGGTTTGCTCTCGGTACCGCCTGTGGAGACGCGTGATTGCAAGACGCCAGCCCCGATTTACTGTGAGTGAGCACTTGTGTCGCAGAGAACGTATGCACTTCGTGGGGGGCGAGGTCAGGGTGTTGTTCCCTCTGTTTTGCCCTTTTCTTTATTGTGGTAAAATACACACAGCACAGTTCAGCATCCTAACCGGGTTTAAGTGCCCAATTCAGGGCCACCAAGCGCGTTCACACAGCGCGGCCACTGCCGCCATCCACCTCCAGAACTCTTTCCGTCTCGAAAATCTGAAACTCCGCCCCTGTTAGACTCTGACTCCCCCTCCCACTCCCCCCGGCGCCCACCGTCCCGCTGTCTGTCTCTGGATTTGAGACCCCGGGGACCTCACCTGTCCCGGGTCTGGTCCTTCCACTGAGCCCTGTGCCCTGGGGCTGTCCACACTATGGCAGGTGTCAGAGCGTCCCTCCTTGTCCAGGCCGGGTGATACCCGGTGTGTGGCTGAGCCAGCTGTATCCCCCATCCAGCAAGGGACGCTCAGGTCATTTCCTGAGTTTTTGGGTTTTTTTTTTTTTTCAATATGTCCTTAAGGGCAGGTTCTCTTTTTCATTTCTTAAAAATATGTTTACTTTCGACACAGCTTGGAGGAGGACAAAACCGTAAGATTAAGTCCACCTGGATGGTTCGTTGGGTTTAATTTTGTTATGAAGGGAGACAGGTATCTTTCGATACCTGTCCTGGAACAGCTTATACCTGACACCGAAGCAGCTGAATTTGACCTCAGATTCTAAATGACGGCGAGCCACCCGTACGTTTATGTTTTTAAGAGTTCCGTAAAGTAGAAGCAGAATGTTAAAGACTCTGTAGACAGTCGTGTGCTCCTAATAATTAAGGCTCTGATAGCAATAGGCACCGTTGTTCTGATGCTCTGTGTCTACGGGCACACGGCCAAGTCCTCTGTGTCGACTTGTGTCCATCCCATTGTCACGGCTTCTTTCCCCCACTGGCGGTCGTGAACAGGGGTGGGCAGACCTCTCGGTGGACGGCCAGCAGAGGGACCCCAGGCCCCGGGGCGCCCCCATGCCCGCCCCGAGCCAGCCCCCGGCAGCCGTGCGCTAGGGCTGCTTGTCCACACCCTGCCAGAGCTTGGGTCGTGGCCACCCTGGCAGGTGGGGGGCGATCGCCCTGTGCACTTTGTTTGCGTCTCCCTGACGACGAACCTTCTTCCTCTCTCCTTCCCCGAAGTTTTTGGGACTGGGAGAAAGGGGAGAAGCTGGATTACTTCCACAACGGAAACCCTCGGTATACCAGGGTCACCGCCATGGAGTACCTGAATGGCCAGGACTGCTCGCTGCTGCTCACGGCCACAGGTGAGTGGGCTTTGTGGGGCCGGGTCCCCACACCCAGCGTGGAGACCCCAGCACGTATTCATAGACGGCCTTTTTTGATCCTGATCGTTCTTCTGCCAAGGGGGCACTGCTCACAGGAACAGCCACCTTCACCGAGGACGTGGGAGGTTTTGGAGGGAACGGGCTTCGCCCACAAACAGGGGAAGCAGGGTGACCAGTGCCGGGGGTGTCCCAGGACCGTCTCCTGCTCCGGGCAGGACCTCCCCTGACCGGGAAAGGCGCTGTCTGCCTCCGGCCCCCTGGCCCCCGTGATGCCCTCGGAGTTGAGGTGGAAGGGTCTGAAATGGGTCACTTCACATCACTCTGGAACAGGCTTCCCAGGACGCCACCCTGGGCCACAGGCGTCTGCTTTAGCGGTTTAAAGACAGGACTCCGCTGTCTCTGGGCATTGAGAGTCACTGTTGGTCTGACTGTGCTTCTTCAGGGGTGACAGACCAGGATGGGACAGGCGGGCAGGGAGGAGGGGCACACGAGAGGGGGCCAAGGTCGACATGCAGGCTTATTTCCCACGTCACCCCAGTCCTGACCTCGGTCTGTCCCCGTCCTGTCCCCAGCCTGGCCTGGGCCTGTCCC